CAGGAATGGAAAGAATGTAGCACTGCATTACACTCCTGATCACTTGATCCAAGAATGAATGGTTTACAATCTGCATTCTCACAGCTTAGCCCATTACATGAGGGTTTGCCCTTGGCCAAAATCCTGAAAGACGTCTACATTATAAATTTTCATCACCAAAACCCGTGACAGACATCTGGCAATCCTACTCTCTCACTGGCGCACAGACAGTCTTAACTGCTTTTATCAGCACTATACATTCTCACTACAAAAGACAGTTTTGCAGAAGACATGGTTTGTTTGAATGTGGAAGCCAGAATTCTACAGCTGCACGCATCACTAAGTACCTGGAGCACATTTGCACAGGCGTTTTGCCTGCACAAGTGAATTACGTGACATTTCTGTAATGCAGAAAAGAAAGCTCTTAACATTAAAAATGAGGAAATTAGTGAAAATACATAATGGGTCAGTTGGGAAAATCAAATTTTATCTGGATTTTATTATTCCTACAAATAAAATCTCAGTTTAGAGTCTCATAATTTCACTTCTGTTTACAAGGCTGCTTATCAGATAACATATTTAATGATATTCAAGTACTCCCACCAACTACAATTACATGGAAGACAATAATCCCTGCCCCATCGGTACAATGACGTCCAGATGTGAAAAGTTAAAACCAGAAAATATGCTGTGGAGCTTGTATTTAATTTTCAGTGGTTACATTAGATGGTTATTTTAACAGGAAAGATTCATGTAATTGCAACTAAAAATATAATGCTGTACTTGTAAATTCTTGTAATATTGCCATGATACATGCTACATTGTTCTTCTATTACCTATGATGGAGTCTTGATATATAGAGTTGTTAGAGCTGCAAGTCACTGAATTTTAAATACCTTCTTTTTAAAATGTATTGATTTTCATCTCAACATTTAATCATCCACAGTCACTGTTCAGATGTGGAAAAGAAGTAGCATCATCCCCATCTTGTAGCTAGCAGTAAGCAAATGAAATGGTCAGTACCACTTCCACTGAAATATGTGAAAAGACCTCTAATTTCACATAAGCAGATCAGGTTCCAAAAAGCTCTGGTATGTACTGAAGTGTTTGCCACAGAAGTACAGAACTTTGATCTAGTCCTAATTCAAATATTAAACACTAATTGTCTTCCTTCTCTCTTCAAAACAGCTGGGAAAGAGAAAATACAAAGCAAAGATAAGATAACTACAAAGGGCAGAAGGACTCGCTATACAATATTGCTGTCTTTCCCTCACTTAGTTTCATTCCTCTTTTTCATACTTATTTCTTAATAAGTTAAGATCTTAATAGCAGGATTAGAATTAATAAAAAAGAAGTATCCAGACCTCTGACTAACATGCAGAGGCTGATGAAACAAGATTAAGAAAAAACAAGCTGTTATTTCTCTGTTTAGAAAATACAACATATTTGCAATCCTCTTTTACATTATATTTTGCCCTGAAGTTCTATTAGAAGGAGGTACAGAGAGTGGATTATCTTTCATAAAAAATGCTAGCACAGACTACAGGGCAGTCCACTATGCATAGGGGTAATCAAAACAGTTCATTTGATGGTAAAATTTTCTGAGCAGGGCATGTGCTTTGGATGTAAGTCTCTGCAACTCTTAACGCTGTACTAGGGATTTTTCTCTATTTTTTGGACACTCTGAGCTAATGAGCATTAAGGTAAAGAAGAACTTTGGCACAGTCGAAAGCTGAAGTGTTGTAATATGGGATTAAAAAAAATTTAGGGGCTTCTAAGAAAAGAAGTAGAAATAGTTGATCAAAAAATTACCTAAAAATGCAACAGAAGAAAACAGGAGCACATTGTTCTCTGAAAAAAAAAACAAACAAAAAACAGAATTTAATGAAGCTCTTGTGTCACCTAAGAGAATGAGTTGATCATTTCGTGCAACTAGAATTCTTCATTGGAATTGTCTTACTAACTAGGTCATAGCAAGGAAATACACGGTCTTATGGAAAGAGAGAATTGCTCTAGTAAAAATACAGATTTAAAAGTGTATATTTTTACCTGAGATCCATTATGATAAACAGTGAGAAAAATAGGCCAGAGTGGCCTATATTCTATATTCACATTTAACATATGTGTTTAAATCTGAGATGGATGATCTTCCTGAAATTCAGCTAGTGGGAGAGACTCCATATGTGGCATTGGAACATACATATATTCCTCATCAGAACTATATGTAAGCCTACTGTGACATGGTTTTTTTTCTTTCCTTTTCTCTGAAGGGAAATATCTGGGAACAAATTCTGAGAATACCCTTTCTCCTGGAAATAATTAATGCTGTCCCTTTCATCATCACGGTAAACATATTTGAATTAATACATTTTCATATTGAACTTTTATAACTGCACAAATACTCTTAATTTTTATTGAAGCAAATTCGAATCTTATGTGGATGACAAATTTGTGCCTGTGGAAACAGACATTTGTCAACAACAAGATAATTTGCTGCTTGAATGAAGTAATAATACAGATCAGTTTTTCCCTTCCTTCCCAATAGAAGACAAACAAAACCAAAACCCTCAAACTCAAGCTGCAGCACAATCAATAAAATAAACCAGCTAGATATAAAAACCTAAGAATCTCTGGTGTCTGGACTGAAAACTGACTATTCTTATTTTATGAAATTGTCTGACATATAGTTCATCAAAAAGGAAGAAAAATTGTTATTTAAAGCCATATCTCACACTAGAAACGCATTAATAATAAGCATTTTTTTTCAAAGTGTTTCATTGCTGCTTGAATAGAAAGCTCTATTCTTGAATAGAAAGGCTTTTAATGAATTTGTTAATTTTTCTTTCAGATTTTCTGGCCAGTCCTAAGAAACCTGTTTATTCCTGTATTTTTAAATTGTTGGCTGGCAAAGCATGCTTTAGAGAATATGATTGTAAGTATTGCAAAGGAAATAACTATTTCAGAGTTTCTATTTTTTTAGTATATTTTCTTCAGTGGGATTTTGGCAGTACAGTCCACTGTCAAACTTTAATAGGAAGCTAACCAGATCTGTATTTAGATTATACAAATGGTCAAGCATCGTTAAACTGCTTCCTCCATTGAAATTAGAAAAAAAATAAGGCATCAAATGAAATCTCAATTAGTATAAATTGTTACTGTGCCAGCAAGGGACAGTTGGAATGGCTGGTTCTTTTGCTGCTCTTCCATTCATACACAATTGCAGGGAACTCAACTGCTCTGCCTTAATTGGTCCTTGCAGCCTGTAATTTGTAAGCTAGACATGAGCAGACAGATCTTAAGGCAGCTTGCAACAGCATCAGAGTTGTGCCAGGATGAACAAAAAGCTGGTTAAATAATCACAGGATTACAGCTGGCTCTTCTACATCCTTCTATATGATCAGCAAATCCTAAGTGCATTTGAAGGACTGCATTTTATCAGGGCACTATATAATTCCTCTATAGAATCAGCTCATGCCTTATTAATTCAAAACCAAAAATAACACCTATTTTCCATTAATACAGAATGATCTTCACAGAGCCATCCAACGCACGCAGTCTGCAATGTTTAACCAAGTTCTCATTTTAATATCTACCTTACTGTGTCTTATCTTCACCTGGTAAGTGGCCAGATCCCTTTGTTTTTATTATAGATGTTGGATTTTCTTTCTTTACTAGATGGTAATAAAACAGGTATTATTGAAATCATGCATTGAATTAAAAGAGTAATACACTTGCGGTGAAAATGTTAAGAAAGTGTTGTAATGCAAAAAAGCAGTAGAAAGGAATGGGGGAAATTTTACGTATGTACCAAGAGTGGGATCTCAGCAGACAATGCACTCCAAAAATTCGAAGAGTACCAACAGAAGTGTCCGTAAAGTCACATTCCTCTGACTGCAGGGACAGACAGAAAAATATGTGAGATCTCAGCCTTACCACTTTGATAACTGAGTCAGGTTCCCATAAGGAGTACAGGGGACATCTGTTGATTTATCTAGATTACAGAAAGTGTAGATTAGATTAATCTAGATTACAGGAAGTAGTGGATGACAGGCTCAAACAACCAAAATGCGTTACTCTGAAGAACATTTTGCTGCAGGACCTTGAAAACTTAAATTTACAGGAGTTTGGGAAGCATGAAGAAGAATCTGTTGAGGACATTAAACATAAAGCCACTTGATTAATGAAACTCATGGCTGCACATTATTGGAGACTAACAAAAAATCCACAGGAAACACCACTTGATTGCCCCATTTTTATACTGTGCTTTAGGGATCTGCTGTTGACCAGAGTTAGAGACAGATGAAGTAGACTACATAAATCTTTGCTATCACCCAGTATGGTTATGTTTATGTTTGTATAAATGGATAGTGGTTATAATGTAGCTTGGTAGTTTACTCTACATACAGAATTTTCTAAGCAGTAGCGCCTGAGAAGTGAGTATCATATATGAGGGGGAAAAAAAAAAAGAAAGGAAGAGTGTATGCTACAAGACATTGTACAAGGGGGCATTGAATAAAGAGTATGATTCTGTGTGGAAAGGCTAAGTTACTTGTATTTATTTTGCCAGACAGGGTGCATTTGGGTCAGCACACCAATAAAGTTTGGTCTGTCATTTTGGAGATAGTAATCTGATTTTCTCTTACTTTATTTCTCTAGCTTGTTTTCCCAAAAGGTACCGTTATGTGCTGCCTAACCCTTTTGGTAGTAACAGTGTAAAAGAACACATGGCCTTTTCCAGTCTTGTCCCTCTCTGCCTTTTATTCAAGGAGTTTGTTCTAGTCAGTGGCTAAATGAATGCTCCAGTTTTACCCTTTGTCTTGTGGCCACACAAATGCATAATTACAAATGTCTCCAGTTCTAAACACTAATGCATTTTTGTGAGATTTAATTTCTTATTGAATATTATGGCCCTTTAAGAGGAAGTTTTGTATAAAGGACTACAATACTTGAACTGGGAGGCATAAAATTCTGCCAGTGTAGCACCTGGACACTTTTAATTGGCTCTAATTTTGCTTTTCAATTTTTTACAATAGAAAACGATCCTCAATGATCCTCACCTTTTTTACTAACCTACTGCAGTATTTTACTGAATTGCTGAACAAAATATGTATCCAGTTCTCACTGAAGTAAGCTAGTAACAAGAACGTTTCCTGCAAACTCACTGTGATGATCCCTGGTTGAATAGGGTGTAGAAGCTGCAGCTAAACAAAACATCATGCTGGCCATAAGGCACTTTGATTAACTGACATTAGAACATGCAGAAAATGGCAAGCTCACCTACAGTAATTATGTCTGGTCTCAAGAGCCACAGATACCAGCTCATTATAGATCATTATATACTGACCTAGTACTGACCCTGCTAGACTGCAAAACAAGTTAAATAGGATGAAAACACCCAATAACACAATAACTAAGGAAATGAAGCGCTTTTGGGATGACTGAGAATAGTTGTTCAAGCATCTGCAGCTTGCCTAAGACTGGAGTGCTGAACTGTTCAGGCAATTGTTCCTATTTGTTACATGAACACACATAATGGCATTTTTATACTATTTATCCATCTGTGTGTGATTTTATATTACAGAGTATATTTTTAAAATATCTAAGAAGTTCTCCATAAACAGTGAAAATCAATTAGCTTAATGTGTTTGATAATGTTACATCTGTGGTGAATTTGAGACAGCGTTTCATTTTAAGAGCTATCATTTAGACCTCACATGAATTTCTTCATGCTGAAAAAAGAGCAACGTCCATTTCTGGAAACTGTCCACTTACGGATGGTGTATTCACCCCAAACACATATGGGAGACAGCATGAGGCTTACCCATATGTGTAATGGAGCACAGCTCCAAAAATATTTAGCTAGCACTGGTCTGTTTTCATAACCATGGTTTTGGTTACATTTAGAGATGCTGCCTTGTACCATAGCTTCAGTAGTGCAAAATTAATAAGCCTAGACCAGTAGTTTGAATATAGTGCTTAAAGTTTCAGAGCACTTTCACCTCAGAGTATATTCAGTACCATGGGGACATGCTCACAGTGCACTTTTGGCACCACTGAGAGCTGCCCACACTGTGCCTGCCTGGTGACCTGTAAGGTTAATGGCATCTCCACTTTCAGGCACTGTGTGCATTAAATTGTAGCACCACAGCCCTTCTTACGTCCTGGTTGACAGGCTTGCTTTTACCATCTGCTTCAATAGGAACGTTGGCTTTTCAGCACTTCTGAAACCAATATAAACTTTACAACACTGGGTTCTGTTCAAAACCATGCTTTTTTTACCAGAGGCGTAGAAAGAAGTGGCACATTATTTCATACAGGGAGTACACCGTCTTATAAGAAGTCCAGGATGGTATGGAACCCAGAAAGACTCCTCTTCCTACTTCCACTTTCTTACCAGTTTAGTTAGACTGGTGCACTGAGAAAGTGCAGCAAAAGTGCTTTCCTAGTGCTTCACGTGAGCGAAAAGTCTGAGGGATCTGTATTACATACCATAAATGCAAGCAAATAGCATATTTATAGAAAATATTTTCAAAAAATTATGTTATTTTAGTTATTAAGGTGTCCTTATCCCAAACCCATGAGTTTTACTTTTTTTTCCAATTCTCCCCATCCCACCACAGGGGGGAGCGAGCGAGTGGCTTCATGGTGTGTAGTTGCTGGGGTTAAACCATGACACGTGCATATAAGAAGTATTTTCAAAATAACTTCTACTATATTTAGCAGAAAACCCTGGAAAAAAATAATTAAATTCTGCCTCATGCATAATCAGCAAACCCATTAGTTACATCTCCACAACAGAATCTTTTAAGTGGTGGCTACACATGTAGACACAGAATCACAGAATGTTAGGACATTTTTAGGACACATTTAGGACACATTTAGGACACATTCCAACTTAAGTCTTATAACTCAGGTATGAGCTTTCATATGAAAAGTAAAAAAAAAATAATCTCATGTTTGCAGCTAATTGACTAATCCCAGAATTTTTAGACATCATTGTTCAAGCTGTCCCTTGCACTCAGAATATAGCGGGAAAAGGCTCCCTCCCTATTTATTCCATACAGCTGACAATTTTCAATGTTACCACAGAACAAACAGTAATCCCAGAACAAAATGTTTGTTCTGTTCAACTCTTTGATATTCAGTGATAATTGTTAATGGATCTGAAGGTAGAAGTCATTTGCAGATCAGTGCATTCATAAGACCAACTCCACGTATGTGTAATTTGCACATTGCATATAAGGATTTTTTTTCCTCTTTCTTCTGATTTCAAAGACAGATTAGGCTATCCAACAATTTTTCTTTCTGTAAATACCTCAGTAGCCTCCTAACCAGAGCGGTTATAGACATTCTAAAAGATGCATACTCCTAGATGACACTGCTGAGCAGTTACTATTGATAGAGCTCTAGCGAAAGTTACAGACCTAGTCAAAGTGTATATTTTGTCATTTAGCTAATGGATGTTTGCACTTGTTTGTCAAATGAAATACTAATTATTTCTGTAAACTGTACAAGATGACAAATAATAGCGAGTGACTCTTTCAGGCGTCTTTCTGTGACACACTGAATCATCTATTAAGACTTATTTTGCTTTTAAAATCAGCATTAGTCATGTGTCGCCAGTGCAGAATGATTAGCTTGTGAAAAAACCCTACATTTGAGATGGGCATTTATTTTGTTCGTCCTGGGGACTAAGAAGGCTGCACAAACTTTGCTTGTGTCTTCATTGAAAGCTCACTGAGGTCAATCTTACCATTTTTTACCCTTCAGTGCTTTCCACCTAAGAAAATTAGGATGTTTCCACACACCGACATAGAGAATAAATGTAATAGGCCAATACTTCAGCCTCAATGTCAATTACAAGTCAAAATTCTCATCTGGAGGAAACAGTGTGAATAAGTTGCTTGTAGGGCTGAAAACAAATCCAGACAATGATCTAGTCCAAACAAGACAAATCAAGAATTTCATGACATTACAGAACAAACCAAAAAAAGGATTAATCCCATGTAACGTTAGAGAAAATCAGGCATCTCAATGATGCCATTCCCTTTATTACCAATAAGCAGACAACTCAGAGGGCAGTGCAGATCTGAAGGGAACTAAATCACCACACGAAGTCTGTGCTCCTCTGCCCTTCTGTGGTGGGTTTGCCAAGAGCTTGCAATGGCAGCTTTCCAAGAGAGGTGCCTAGCACTAAGTAGGATGAACTTGCAGAGTGTTGGTGGATTATGTAATGTAGAATAAAATGTGTTTTTAGGGGTATACAGTTCTTTTTTCTGTAATGTTATGTTTTATTGTACAGCGCTCAGTGCTCAGACCCAATTTCAGTTTACGATTTAGAGAGATTTTCTACAATCAAAAATAGCACAAAATTAAACTCTAGTTCTGTTACTTACTTTCATCAAATCCCATGATTCTAAAGTGGTAGAGCACAGGATGTCTCAGGATCTAACAGACTAAACAGGAGAATATTATAGGACATCAATTAAAAGTTCTAAGTAATTGTAAATAATACAAAATAAATTATCCAACTATTACAAGAATCCCACAGAGTATTAAAAGAATAGTGGTTATATGCTTCTCTTTCTCTGAAATAAAGCTAGCAGCATCTGGAAGA